TTATGTAGATAACAAACAGCGATGGGCCCAGCACCGACACTTGAGGCACACCACTAGTCACAGGCCTCCAGTCAGACAAGCATCCTTCCGCTATTACTCTCTGCTTTCTACCATCAAGGCAATTGTGTATCCAATTTGCTAACTCTCCCTGGATTCCATGTGATCTAAGCTTCCAGAGCATGTGGAACCTTATCAAAGGCCTTACTGAAATACATGTAGACTACATCTACCATACTGCCATCATCAATCTTTCTGGTCACTTCATCAAAGAACTCTAACAAATTTATGAGGCATAATCTCCCACACACAAAGTCATGCTGACTACTCCTAATCAAACCCTGTCTTTCTGAATGCATGTATATCTTATCCCTCAGAATCTTTTCAAGTAACTTACCTACTGCAGATGTTAGGCTTACTGGTCTATAGTTCCCAGGTTTATCTTTGCAGTCCTTCTTAAATAAGGGCACAACATTTGCTACCCTCCAGTCTTCCGGGACCTCACCCGTGGCTAACGATGATACAAATATCTCAGCCAGGGCCCCCACAATTTCTTCTCTAGCCTCTTGCAGGGTTCTTGGATGTAACTGATCAGGACCAGGAGATTTATCCACCTTCATACATTCTAATACTTTCAACACCTCCTCCATTGTGATATGGACTGTCCCCAAGATATCGCCACTAACTTCCCCAAGTTCCCAAGTCTTTATGTCGTTCTCCATGGTAAACACAGAGGAGAAATATTCATAGAGGACCTCGTTCATCTCCTATGGTTCCACACATGCGTTTCCACTTTCGCCCTTGAGGGGTCCTATTCTCTCTCCAGTTATTCTTTTTCTTTTTATATACTTGAAGAATCTCTTTGGATTCACCCTAATCTTCTCAGCCAAAGCTATCTTGTGCCCCATTTTCGCCCTCCTGATTTCCCTCTTCAGTAAACTCTGGTATCCCCACTAGTCCTCCAGGGATTCCCTTGATCCCAGCTGCCTGTCCCTGACCCATGATTCCTTTTTTCTGGTCAGAGCTTCAATATCTTTTGTGATCTAGCATTCCCTACTCCTGCCAACCTCACCCTTCACCCTCACAGGAACATACAGACCTTGAACTCTAGCTATCACACTTCTAAAGGCCTCCCACTTGCCAGAGGTCACTTTGCCTGCAAAAAAAACTACTCCAATCAACCCCTGCAAGCTCCTGTCTAATTCCATCAAAATTCGCCTTGCCCCAGTTCAGAACTTCAATCTGTGGACCAGTTTTGTCCTTCTCCATAACTATGTTAAAATTAATAGAACTATGGTCACTGGTCCCAAAGTGCTCCTCACTGTCACCTCAGTTACCTGTCCTCCCCTGCCCTATTTCCCAAGAGTAGTTGAGTTTTGCCCCATCCCAAGTAGGACCCTCTACATACTGCTTGAGGAAACTTTCCTGAACACATTTAACAAATTCCAACCCATCTAAGCGCTTAACACTGTGGCAGTCCCAGTCAATATTAGGTAAATTAAAATCCCCCACTTTGACGACCCCATTTCTCCTGCAAGTCTCCACAATCTCCTTGCATGTTTGTTCCTCTAATTCCCGTTGACTCTTCGGGGGCCTATAGCACAAACCCAATAACATAATCTTCCCTTTCTTATTTCTTAGCTCCACTTACAAAGCCTCACTGGATGATCCCTCAGTTATTTCATCTCTGACTACTGCTGTAATAATCCCCTTAATCAAAATTGCAACTCCCCCTCCCCTCTTTCCTCCACCACTGTCTCACCTAAAACACCTGTACCGTGGCACACTAAGCTGCCAATCCTGTCCTTCCCTTAGCCATGTTTCTGTAACGGCCATAATATCCCAGTCCCATGTACCTATTCACGCCCTTAGTTCATCAGCCTTACTTTTCAGCCGTCTTGCATTGAAATAGATGCAATTTAATCCAACAGGCATTCCTTGCTTCCTGTCCTGTTCCAGCCTGACCTGTCTCTTCAAATTGCTTCAACTAATTACTGTATCTCTTTCCAGCCTCACACTTTCCTCCCTGCTGTTGAGGATTCCAATTCCTGCCAATCTAGTTTAAACCCTCCCTTGCAGCTCTAGCAAAACTGCACGCCAGGATATTGGTTCCCCCTTCAATTCAGGTGCAACTCATCCCTCTTGAACAGGTCACCTCTGCCCCAGAAAAGATCCCAATGATCCAGAAATCTGAATCCCTGCCCCCTGCACCAATTCTTTAGCCACGTATTCATCTGTCATATCCTTCTGTTCTTAACTTCATTAACATGTGCCACTGGAAGTAATCTGGAGATTACCACCATCAAGGTCCTCATTTTTAACTTTTTTCCTAGCTCTCTATAATCCGTCTGTGGGACCTCATCCCTATTTCTACCTATGTCATTTGTGCCAACGTGCACAATAACTTCTGGCTGCTCACCCTACCGCTTTGAGAATGTTTTGCAGCTGCTCCGAGACAAGCAGCTGGGAATCCATCCTGGATTCCTGTCTGCAGCCATAGAATCTCCTGTCTATCCCCCTAACTATCAAGTCTCCTATCACTAAGGTTCCTTTTACCTTTACCCTTTCTCGCTGTAACCCAGAGCCAGTTGTAGGGCCACTGACCTGGCTACTGGTGCTTTCCCCTGATCGGTCATCCCTCCCAACAGTATCCAAATGGTACAGTTGTTTTCGAGGGGAATGACCACAGGGGATTTCTGCACTCTCTGCCTATGTCCTTTGCCTTTCCTGTTGGTGACCCAGCTACAATCTGCCTGCACCTTTGGTGTGACCATCTCACTGAAACTCTTATCTATGATGCATTCAGTATGTTGGATGATCCTGAGTGCATCCAGCTCTAGTTCCCTAACATGGTCTCCCAGGAGCTGCAGCTGGGTGCGCTTCCCACAGCTGTAGTGATCAGGGACGATGGAAGTCTTCCTAGGCTCCCACCTCCTGCAGGAGGAGCATGCCACTGCCCTAACCACCATCTCAAATGCTGTAAGACTAAAAAGGAAAGTTAAAAGGAGTTTACCTGAGCTTACCTGTACTTTTTGCTGAGCCACTGCTCAACAAAGCCTCTCAAGCCAATGCTTACTTCTCACTCTTGATATCTATTTAGCTATGGCTGGTAGACCATCCAAATACAATGCAATGCAACCAATAAAATACTTCTTGCAGAAATAGGCACGACACAACTGATGGTGAAGGGTAGAAACAGAGTGGCACAGGAATGCCCACACCTCCTGCAATCTGCAGACAGAATGGCTCTCAGCATCAACTGACCCTGTATCATTAGGATGGCATTGGGGTCAACATTGAGGGTGTTAATATATTGATGCCTGCAACCCCTATCTCACCCATACCTTCACCATCAACCTTCTGTCTGGCATAATGTGAAAGCTGCTAATGGTGAGGCCTTGAGCCTTTTGCTACTTGGCATCCTCCCCTTCCTTAATTCTTTCCCCACAATATTTCCATTTTCGCTTATTGCTTTCAAACACACGAACTTCATTGGAGGACTGCAGATATTGAAACAAAGAATTACTTTGATCTTCAAAGTATTCACTACTGACAGCCACATCCAGAGCTCCTGCTAGGGATGGAGCATTCATAAGATCTTCAATGTCCTTGAAGTTTCCAATCCCCACACCACCATCGAGCTCTGACCCTGGTGAAACCTAAATAGTCCTGGTCTATCCTTTCCAGGACATTTTCCAACACTCAAGCTGAAACAACTGAGTCATAGTAGCTGGAGCTCACATACTGTGATGGTGCCAAAACTGGCTAGGTCACACCGATTCTGTATCGAGTATAGTTAATGCGGTAACAAAAGCGAATTTATATTCTATTTGAAATTTGAAGGACTGCATTGAACGAATTGGACGCATAATTTGCCAAAAAAATCAACTTGCTAAAAGGGTATGGGAAGTTCCATTGACTGATAGAGCACCAGCTTTATCCACACTGGATTATGAGAAGTCATTTAAAGTTGTTCTTGATGCCAGCGGCATTGGTGTGTAAGCAGTTTTACAGCAGGATTAAGAGTTAGGGATCAAAACACCTGTCAGTTATTGTTCAGAGAAACTGACTGCATGACAATAAAAACATCAACATTTAGAAAAGAGACATTGAGTTTCATGTCGGCACTTCTACCTACTGGCCTTCAGCACATAAATCAGTACTCCTCAATGCTGAATTCCCAATGAGGGTGATCAGGGCACTAAATGTACTCTGGCTGGGACGTGTCAATGCCCATTATCTAGAGTAGTTCAGTAACAACCAAGACATAGCTGCTAAATTGAACTTGTGGCAAAGAATGAGAAAGGACAATTAAGAGAAAAAAAAACTAATTGAACTAATACTCAATAAGCCACCTGTAACTGATGCATTTGTCCATGGCTATATTAGTAGAGGTGATCATCTTGTAATCCCGTGGAGATAAATTCGCACCTCACTTCCCCCCCTTCATGTTGAGGATACCCTTCATCGTATTGTGTGGCACTATCACCACACTGAGTGGCACAGATTCCAAACAGATCCAGAAGCTCAAGACTGGGCCTCTATAAGATGCTGTGAACCATCAGCAGTGTAAGATTGGAATTTCATCCATAATCTGTAACCTCATGACCCATATGTCCCCCATTCTACAATTACCACCATGACAGAGGATCAGTCCTGGTTCAATGAAGAGCTCAGCAGGGCATTCCAGAAGCAGCACCAGGCATACCTGAAAAGTGAGGTGTCAAAATGGTGATACTACAACATAATACTAATTGCATGCTAAACAGCACTAACAGCAAACGGTAGACAGAGCTAAGTGATCCCACAACAAACAGATCAGATCTAAGATCTGCAGTCCTGCCTCCGGTCATGAACTGAGGTAGGCAGTGAAATAACTAACAGGAAGAGGAGGCCACATAAATATTCACATCCTCAATGATGTGGGAGTCCAGCACATCCATGCAAGAGATAAGGTTGAAGCAACTCCAGCGATCTGCAGCCAGAAGTACCAAGTGGATGATCTATCTCAGCCTCTTCTGGAGGTTCACAGTATCATTACCATCATCATCATCATCATCATCATCATCATCATCATTCATTGTCTTTCCAGAAGGAAAACTATCATTCTTAACTGGTCTTGCCTACATATGACTCCAGACCCATAATAATGTATTTGACGCTTCCCTGCCCTCTGGGCATTTAGGGGTGGGTACTAAGTGCTAGCCTCTATCAGCAATGCCTGCATTCCATAAACAGCTTTCTAAAAATCATAATTGCCAGTCTTCAGCCAATTTGATCACACCTTGAGATATCAAGAAATAGCTGAAAGCTTTGGACACTGCAAAGACTATGGAGCCTGACAGTATTCCAGCAATAGTATTGAAGACTTGTGCTCCAAAACTTGCCACTCCCCTAGCCAAGCTGTTCCACTACAGTTACAACACTGGCATCTACCCAACAATGTGGAAAATTGTCCAGGTACGTCCTGAACACAAAAGCAAGATAAATCCAAACCGGCCAATTACCGCCCCATCAGTCCACTCTCGATCATCAGCAAATTGATGGAAGACATCATCAAATATGCTATGAAGCAGCACCTGCTCAGCAATAACCTGCTCAGTGATGCCCAGTTTGGGTTCTGCCAGGGCCATTCAGCTCTTAACCTCATTATAGCCTTGACTCAAACATGGACAAAAAAACTTCAATTCCAATGAGGGAGATGAACGTGACAACCCTTGATATCAAAGCCGCATTTGACTGAGTGTGGCATCAAGGAGCCTTGTAAAAAATGGAGTCAATGTGTATCAGGGGCAAGCTCTCTGCTGGTTGAAGTCATACTGGGTACATAGGAAGGTGGTTCTGATTATTGGAAGTCAGTCATCTCAGCTCCAGGACATTTTTGCAGGAGTTCCTCAGGTGGCGTCGTTGGTTAAACCATCTTCAGCTGCTTCATCAATGACCTTCCCTCCATCATGAGATCAGGAGTGGGGATGTTTGGAGATGATTGCATAATGTACAGCACCATTCGTGACTTTTCAAATACTGGAGCAGTCCACGTCCAAATACAGCAAAGACTGGACAAAATCCAAGCTCGGACTGATAACTAGAAAGTGTTAGGTGCCAGACCAGATTCCCCCAAGGTATATTGTTGAGATAGGCCAGACCCTAACTTTTATTACTTTTTTGAAACAGCAGGTGTAAAGTGCTGTTTTTCATTTGCGATTTGATTGGTCCACCATTACACTTTAATCAAAACACACTTTATTCTTACAACACAGTTAAAATACAACAAAAAGAAGAATCGGTATACGTTTACTCTATTGAAATATTTAACAAGATAACATACTATTTAACCACTAAACATCAACTGTTCCATTATAGGCAGCATTCCATTAACACAAACGCAATTCGGCAACATGGTTATTATTGTCACTTGTTATCTCTCTCCAGTGTAGTAGAAAGAAACACTGAAAAGAATAATCTACCCTTCTGAATTTTAAGCAGAAGCCTCTCTGTCCACGACTCTACTCTAGCAGCAGAGAACTTGAGCTTTCAGCTCCAGCAGCCAGCAAATACCTATTCAACTAACTGAAAGCAAATGATCAGTCTGTGTGAGCCTGACCCTGCCCACTCATGTTTCTTTTGTCATATTAAAAAAAAACCCAGAGAAAATGCAAAGTTGTTTACCAACTGCCTGTCTGAAGGAGGTATTTCAGCGCCACTGAGGCAACACTCCTCTACAAGAGCAACAGGACAGAACACATCTCTTAAAGGCATACTGCCATCATAAAGATAACATTTGTACTATGTAAGTGCCAGGCAATGATCATTTCTAAAAACAGAAGAATCTAACCACCGCTTCTTGATGTTCAATAGCATTCCACATTTGGCACACTACATACAATTCTGATCGCCCTGCTATATGAAGGATGTTATTAAATTGGAAAGGGTGCCAAAAAGATTTGCAAGGATGTTACTGAGACTAGAAGGTTTGAGTGATAAGGAGAGGCTGGATAGGCTGGGCCTTCTTTCCCTAGAGGCTGAAGGGTCACCTTGTAGAGATTTACAAAACCATGAGGGGCACAAATAAGGTGAGTAGCTAAGTTCTTTTCCTCTGGGTAGGGGAGTCCAGAATTAGAAGAGGGCATAGGTTTAAGCTGAGAGGGGAAAGATTTAAAAGGCACCTGAGGGGCAACTTTTTCACATAAAGAGTGGTGTGTGCTTGGAACAAGCAACAAGAGGAAGTGATAGATGCGGTTAAAATTACAGCGTTTAAAAACATTTGGACAGGTACATGCATAGGAAAGGTTTGGAGGGATATGAACCAAATGCAGGCAAATGGGACTAGTTCAGTTTAGGAAACATGGTTAGCATGGATGAGTTGGGCCAAAGGGCTTGTTTCTGTGCTGTATTACTCTATGACTCTATTCCTCAATGCTGATCCTGATACTACTGACATCCTGGTGTTTACTGTTGACAAAACATTGAACACGACCGGCCGTATAAACACTGTGACTACAAGAACAGGTCATAAGCTGGGAATTCTGTAGCAATGAACTCACCTCAATTCCTGAAAACCTGTCCACCCTTCACAAGGCACAATTCAGGAGTGCAATGGAATGTTCTCCATTTCCCTGACTTGGTACAGCTGCAACATCACTCAACAAACATGACACCATCCAGGACAGAGGACCCCACTTGATTGGCTTCTCATCTAATAGTTTCAACGTTCACCATTAATGCAGGGAGGCACCAAAGTGTACCACCTGCAAAATGCAAAGCAACAACTTACCACAATTCCTTAGAAAGTACCTTCCAAACCTGTGACCTCAAGAGAGATGGGGACAGCATATGCATGAGAATACCATTACCTGAATGTTTCTTCCAAAAAAAAATCAACCTCACCAGGAAATATATCAACATTCCTTCAGTGTCGTTGGCTGAAAATCCTGGGTCAAAATAGTCTCCCTAACAGAGCGGACTGGAAAGCAGCTCACCACTACCTTCCTCAGTTCTGTTAGGGATGGGCAATAACTATGGCCCAGCAATGTCAAATTCCATGGATGAATTCAAAAAAAAGATTTTTATGCCAGCTTGATTCTATCAAAGAAGTGAGCTTTGCAGTTGTTATTTCTGACAGTGATATCACAAATGGATGAAGATACTACAGCTCCAGAGAGCTGGTCTCTCATCAGAGTGAGACAACTGGGAGCTGTTTAACCTGAGGGCCACCACATCATGGGTGAGGTTGAGAAGATGAGACCATCATGGTAACATTAGCCAGTGTAGGGATTGAACTCATGCTGTTGGTATCACTGCATTGCAAACTAGTCATCCAGCCAAGTGAGCTAGTCAACTCCTTACTATGAGCACCTCTGTCAGCAACATATAATTTTGTGAGGAAGAAGTCATGGAAAGACTGACTGTGAGAGTGTGAATCCCCGCCTCATCTTCATGATGCCACTAGCTGAGTGCCACAGAAATAATGCTTTGATGGATTCCTGGCATGTTGCTGCTTTCCTTGAGTGGTGACAGCTTCATGTAGAGGCACTCTCAGGCTCACCATCTCTTTAGGTTTGTCTCCACTCCTCAGCCACCTGTGAGATCTGGGTTCCACAACTCTAAAGAAATAGGTAGGATTCTCCTGGGCTTCCATTGCAAAGGCAACACAACCTCACCCACTCTAGACTGCTTCCAGATCATTAGGGTATTCTGAATCACCTCATGACTCATTATCACTGACAATATCTACCTTCCTGAGTTGTTGTATCTTAGCTGGTGCATAGAAAGATAAAAGCAGGAAATTAGGGGTTTATGTCAGCGAAAACACAGGGCACGAAATTTAAACAAGGACTAATGCTTGACCTTGAACTTCACATCTCCCTTGATCATGCTCATTGTTAACATTATCATCACCACAGAGGTTGTTTTAATGACTTGGCTCATCCTCTAATAGATAGCTCTAGTATCTTCTATCTAATTATCTCTTGAACAACACAAAAATTCCTCCGATGTTCGATCTTTCATTCAGTATGCAACTCTCTTCAACCACCTCTCAAATAAGTGAATGTTCCATTGTCTCTAATCTAATTTTCTACTCAGTTCTTTGACTTGTATTTTAGTTTGAGAATTGAAGGCTCAAGAGTCTCAATTTCATGATTGTGTGGTACAGAATTGATTCATGGACAGTTTTTTTTTAACTGAATAGTAGAACAAAAGGTGACAGGATTCCACTGTGAGGAGAATATCATTGCCCAAAATAATCCGGCTGTAGAAAGCAAATCTTTCATAGAAAATCTAATCCCAAAAGTTCTTGCAAGCATCACAATTTTCCATTGGAAATGCAATTGAAGGGTGTGGGAGAAAAGGATAGCAGCACCTGAGGCACCCCAATACTGACCCTGTGAAAATTATTGCAGCCAGCTAACTTATATTTTACCAAATAGACAGCAGCTTAAGTCATAGTGGGGGAACGGGAACAACAATTGGGACAGCACTAACACTAATGTTGCGTATACATTGGCCTTTTTCTGTGCTTCCTCTTCTGTCTCTTTTCTCTTCAGCACATGTACCATGTGTAGAGGTATTCCCAGTGAGAAGCCTTTTTGCTACCTCTCTACATATTTTATCCACTCCTCAAAATGAAGTCCAAATCTCAAATCTCCAGTAATCTCAAATCTCCAGTAAAGACTCTTTTTTTAAAAAGTAGTTTTAAAAAATGTGGAATACTAGTGGCAGTGAGATGAAACCTGTAGGTGGCCCTGAACTGACACTTGCCAAAATCCTTCAGTAAGTGACAACGTCAGCGTGTCAGAAATTTCAAGGAAATTAATATTAAATCATGGATAGGAAAGAACATTAACAAATTGACAATGAGAAAAAGGCACCAAACGATGACAAATACCCAGGCACAAATGATTTCCATGCAAGATGGTTTTATCTCCAATCTCCAAGACCTAGGACTCTACTCCCCGCTCTGTACCTGGATAATCAACTTCCTGACCCACAGATCACAAACAGTAAGGATGGGTGACAACACCTCCTCCACAATAATCCTTAACACAGGTGCCCTGTAAGGCTGTGTACTCAACCCTTTACTATA